GGTGAGTGATGTACTCGCCGTTGATGTTAATACCCTATCCTTTCCAGTCCAGAAGCTTGAAAACATCTTTCAATGCAGCGGTGAAGAGTTTCGGGGATACAACATCACCCTGTCTTACACCTCTCTGCCGTTAGATAGGTTTCGTACTCTGGTTCTGTACTCAGATAGTCATCGTAGTCCTACTTTACATTCACTTCAGCACTTCGATATACCGACAGTCAACTTGGCACCGTGGAGGGACTGCAGCACCGCCCAAATTTCGACGGAATCAAAGGATTTCTCATAATCCACATACGCCAGACATAGTCGCAAATTGTACTCCTCGGACTTCTGTACAATTTGCCGAAAGGTATGTATGTGGTCTATTGTGCTACAGCCTTTTCGGAAACCGGCTTGTTCAGGAGGCTGGAAGTCGTCGAGTCTGCATGCGAGTTGATTCGTAATGACTCTGGAAAACAGCACGTAGACGCGGCTCAGAAGGGAAACCGGTTTGTAGTCCTTCAAGAGAGCGTTGTCGCCTTTATTGAAGAACAAGACAACCGCACTTCTGCTCCACGACTCCGGTGTAGTGCCACCATGGAGGACGGAATTACAAAGCCTCTGAAGGACTTCAAGTACCGGTTTTCCACCCACTTTCAGAAGCTCCACTGTAATTCCATCCTCGCCTGGAACCTAGCCGTTTTTAAGGTGCTGGAGAGCCATTCTAATCTCGCTCAGACTGGAGTCCGGAATATCATCGGAACAGTGTCGGATAAGACTTGATCTTGGATCGTTACTCACACTTGCGTGTGGCTCCAACGATGATGTGTACAGCTGACCATTGAACCTCTCAATCTCACTCAAAATCCCAGGTGTCCCGGAAATGATGCTGCCACATTCGGTCTTCAGCTTCGACAGTTGGCTCTTTCTGGCAGACAGATCTCTGGCAAAGACTTTGGAGCCCTGGTTCCGCTCGATTGCTTCATCAATACGAGCAGTATTAAAGTTGCGTAAATCGAGCCGCATGCATTTGGAGATCTGTCTGTTCAGTTGCCTGTATACTGTCAAATCTACTGAAGACTGCAGCTTCATTTCCCATCAAACAGCCATCAAATTAAGAGTGTGATTGGAGAGTTTATGTGTTCTCCTGCGGCGGGTCTTGCAAAACTTAGCTCCGACCGCATGGACAATTACCACAAGCTTGTCATTAATATCGTCCATTTCATTGCGGTCTTCTAGACACTGAAAACTGTTTTGTGATTTTGATTTCATTAGACGAGACCTCCCCAACTAAAAGTTTAGGTTCAGAGTGCCTCTAACCATTCAATGATCGCTACCAGTTTTCACCCTCGCGATCACTGACACATCACTGAACAATTGTCGTCTGGTCGTCATAATGAAGTCAATCTCATTTTTTTGTCGAACCGTCCACTCACGCACACATACGAACACACCCACAGGAAGTGGATTCCTGTGGAGCCGCTTCTGGAAGAAAGAGTTCATCATAAAGAGTCCCTCTTTCTCCATGAAGTCGGCCAGCTGCTGGCCCCTTGGGTTCCATTCCCCTATTCCAAATTTCCCTACCTTCAGCTCACTGTTCTCTCTTGTGCCTAGTTTTGCGTTTAAGTCTCCCATCCACATCGTATAATGGATTTTAGAGGAATGCATGGCTCTAGATATATCCTCTTACATTTCCTCCACATCCTCGTCGGGATGTGCCGCGGTTGATGCGTAAACCTGTATGACCTTCAAGCGAATATCGTTTGGTGATTCTGAGTATAAGGTATGCACCCCTCGTTGACACACTCAATCTTTACAATGTTGTTAATGAGAGACTTGTGGGCAATGAATCAGACACTACTCATGGAGGGGTATATTGCCATAGTTGCCACGCTTGGCGAGCGGGTTGGCAACCGCAGTTTTCTTATTGTTGCTTTGCTGTTATCAGAAAGATGCTGCTGCTCATCTTCTGCCTCAGTTACCCTCTGTCGCCTCTTATACCAACTACCTCATATTTAAAGATATGGGGTAGTGGGTATTCTTACCCGCCACTACACGGGGTACTCTCATAGAGTACCAGCTTAAAATAGCAGCTTAACGCTGCTGTTTCGTATGGTGAGTGTAGAGAACCGGAGACACTTTTCACTGGAAATGATGCATTCCATCTTAGTCCTCTCGGGTCACGTCTGCTTTTTGATTCGTAATCGCTGATAGGTAGCTGTAGATGTCAATGGGCCACAGCAACCCCTTACCATCAGGTGGACTGTGTGCTCGTTTGTCACCCTTATCCTATAAAAAAAAATCCATACAAGTTAGGAAGTCTGAAGTCTGTGCACATGTTCAAGATCGTCTCTGCCATTACATCAGATTTCATAGACCAAAATCCTCGCAAAAAAACACCGATTCCTACCAAGGATCATATGCGAGGCTATTGAAATTAAAAAACATCCTAATTCCAATAGAGAAAATGAATAGGTATACCGCACCCATGATCATGGAGAGACTGAGGTGTTTGAAGTCCTGATGTCATAGTTAATAAAGGCTACCTTTAACTTTTAATTATTAATTTTTGATCTGATCTACGCAATGAAAATTGGTCCCAGCAGTAGCTGGGTGCTGCCAGCTATAACACTCACTTCAAGATACCGCATAAATTGTTCCAAAAATTAATAATTAAAAGTTCGATGGAGCATGTGGTGTAGAAGTTTTCCTAATGACTTGATTTACTGCCATTCTGGACTAATATAACAGCCCTACATTTAATACAATAGCCAATCAGTTTTTCTCTCATCACTCACTCATATACTTAAACAGCATTTTATTTTGATATTGAAATACCTAGTCATTTTTTTTTTTCAATTTTGGTTCTGTAATAACTCACAAAATAACTAAGTTATAGACTGATTAGTTGCTAAAAATAAACATCATATGAAATTAAACAACATTCTTTAATTTCTACTTTAGAAATTGGATAAATCTACGTAAAATATTTCATATAATACATAAAAATAAATATCTTTACAACTTACGAACCTGAAACATTTCAGACTCTAAATCTGGTTTTTGTGTATTCTGAAGACCAATAAGCAGTTTCAATACAGTTTGAAAATTGTCTTTTAGTTCACCAAAGTCTATTTTGCGCATGATGCTCATCAATTCCTTCAACTTAACAGATCTCTTGTATTCAGCAACATTCTTAATATTTTGTTGTGACACGAAACAATATGATAGAAAATCAACAGACGCCTCGTTCCTCGAAAATGTATATTCAATAGAACTCTTCTTCAAAATTATCTCGTAGCACAAGGATCTCATCTTGGAAAGCAGAATAGTTTGTGACACTTTACTTTTATAGCAATATGAAGATGCTGTTATACGGCATAAATCTGTTATAAGTTCGTAAACCCCCTTATTGATATTCTGTTCGCTTAATATATCCATATTCATTTAATTTATTTTATTAAGGTTTAACAAATTGTGTAGGTAAAACTAAATAAGAAAGTGTTTATGGCAATTTTAAACTACTTAATGTTTAAATTATAACACACAGCAAACAGTGTTCCTCACTAAAATACGATATGTTTCTTCAATACAAATAAACGCACCACAAATTAATATGATTAAAATTTTTACTTATACTGGCGCATACGGCATTTGTAAACAAATTTGTAGATTTAGATTGACAGTTGACATTTTACTTTTTTGATTGTTTAAATGCAATGGAGTCTGCGCCCATACATCTTATCTTAAGCATATATTCTTATAATATATATATATATATATATATATATATATATATATATATATATATATATATATATATATATATATATATATATATATATTTCGATTATTTGTTGATTTATTGCTTATTGTGACCTTTTTAGAGCACTTTTCCAACTTAAACATGAATTAAACGATTAAAAGTAGAGTGCGGGAGATGCCGTTTCGCATAATTTCTAAGTTTGAACAAAAACAACACGAGAAAGACGCCCAATTCAATCATAAACAAGATTGTTTACGCGTGGTATTGGATTTCATAAGTTAGTATGACGCTTTGATGTTGATATAATACTTTATTTGTATTAGTAATTATCATTTATGATTTAACAAAAACTATTTTTGATTGGTTCACATTCTGTTAAAATTACGTTAAGCACCACCATTATAATGCATTGTTGTGTTGCATTGTAATTTTAATACACAATTGTTTTATTTTACAGAATATCTGGAGAATGTAGCAGGGGTTCATGATATAGTGAAAACTATTGAAAACCCTACTGATTTAGAGGAGTAAGACAGGATAAGAACCCACAGGTAAGTTTTTACTAAATACATACGTAAGTTTTACAATGATATAATTTACTACATGATTTGCTATTAAAAATGCAGGTACAGCACCTAATCATTCTATTTCATCATTCTTTACAGAAGTAAGTGTTACAACATTAAAAAGAATAAAAAAGGAAGGTGTGGTAAATGAAGGTGTCTGGAATACTCCAGGGAAAAAACGGCCACATAAATCCACAGTGTCCAACCTAGATAGTTTCGACATAGATGCTATTTGTAACAAAATTAACGAATTTTATATCGTTAGAAAACAAGTTCCTACGTTGAGAACTCTGTTAGTGGAATTAAGAGAAAGCATTGGATTTAATGGATGCCGGGAAACTCTTCGCCACTTATTATCGTCCAATGGCTATGAATTTAAAAGAAATAAAAATGAGCGTTCATTGTTAATTGAACGTTATGACATATCTGCCCGGAGACATCGGTTTTTAAGAACCATGGCTTTGAAACGTAGAGAAGGAAAGCCAATAATTTATTTAGATGAGACTTATATTCATAAAAACTACAGGCCCAAGAAGTCTTGGCAAGGTTCATCTACAAGTGGTGCAATTGAAAATGTTTAAACTGGGAGAAGGTATATAATTGTACATGCTGGATCGAAGAAAGGTCCTGTGCATAACTCATTATTAGTATTTAGCACTAAATCTAAAATGGCAGACTACCACCTCGACATGAATGCCGTTAACTTTAATAAATGGCTAAGAGAAAAGCTCATACCCAATTTAAATGAGCCGAGTGTATTAGTTATAGATAATGCCAGTTACCATTCAATCATTGTAAATAAAGCTCCTACTTCACAAAGTCGCAAAAATTATATAAGAGAATGGCTTACTTTTAATGATATTCCATTTGAACAATATCAAACGAAAGCAAAGCTGCTATGTATTGTAAAACGAAACACACCAGAATCAGTATATGGAGCTGACGAACTTCTGAAGCGGAATGGGCATGAGCTATTGTGATTTCCCCCCTACCACTGCGATCTAAATGCCATTGAGCTGGTATGGAGTTTGGCTAAACGTAAAGTGGCTAGTAAAAATATTGCCCTCATGCTGTGGAGTTAGAGAAACTTATTAAAGAGTCTTTTGAAAGTATAACTCCATAGGAATGGAAGAAAATGACTGATCATGTAATGCACATTGAAAATAAATATAAAGAAAGGGATAAAATAACAGAAGATATTTTAGAAAGTTATTATACATATTTATAAGTTATTATAAAGTTATTATTCATGTTGGGTCAAATGAATCCACATGGAATACCTAGATTCAGATTTCGATTATGGTAAGGAATAAACCAAAATTATTATAGAATATTGTTGTTTTTTTTTATTCAGATAATATCACATAATACTTAGTGGTATTTTTATACCAACAAAGTAAACTGGTTTTCGAAATGCCACGCACGAAGTCTTTGGTTTGGATCATAATGGGTAGACATGATTTTACATCTCGAAACTTCAATTTACTTCGTCTGATTAAAAATACAACTTTACATACAACAGCTACCGTAGGTTCCCATTTTTGGATCTGTCCACATTCTATCAAGCAGTAGTGTACAAATTATGTTTTACACAAAAACAACTCTAAAGTATCAAGTCAGGTTATTCCAGGTACTTAATATAAATTTTGGGGTTGCTAGGCTGAGATTCTTTAAATTTTTCTTTTTCAGTCAATACTTTCGTTTGTCAGACTATATCTATTCATACAATAGCGAGTTATTGCAGTCCAACGAAACTATCTATTGCAGTAGACGTTTTACTCGATAACATGATTTTACGATCAAGCGATCAGAACGAAATGTAGGAAATCGTTTATTCGGCTATTTTCGCGACGCATCGGCAACAACTTCGGCTGTTGCAGTACCTCACCGGCCATTGAATGTTGAGTGAGCGTGGGTGATAAGTTATGTCTCTTTCACACCCACCTATGCATACATTACTTTTGCATTTGACTTATGACTAATACCTTCAGATAAATGTCATATTCGGAATGAGAAAGTAAGTGTGGATGTTTTTAAATAACAAATATTTTCGAATTGCGTGGCCTTGACCCGGTCTAAATCCGTCTTGAAGCCGCTATTAAAATAGAGTGTTTCAAAAGTCGCTATTGATATTCGATAGATAGTTTCGTTTCGTTACTCAAAAAAGCCGCTACAACCCACCGCTACTTAGAGTATATTGGCGTATAGATCAACATAGTGTGCATAGGAGAAGAAAATTCCTTATGGCAAAAATGCAAGATAGAAAAGGATACCAAATCTCATGACTCTGTAACCGATTTTGAATGACAGATCGGCACAAGTCGGCACTCAAGAAATAAATTCCTAAATATTTTGAAATTTTTAGAGTGTAATAGTGGTTATTTTTAGTAAGTAACTTTCTTCTAAAATGGTTACTTGTTCTCAGAGTGACTGTGGTGCTAATAATAGAAATCATCCTGATAATTGCACATTTCACAGGTAAATTATCAAGATATCATCAATGTTATGACGCCATTATTTTTGGTTATAATTTATGTTATACACTGTTTAAAATATAGAATGTTTTGTTAATATAATTTAATTAATGTTGTTAATTTTGATATTTTGCAAAGAAAAAGTCACGTTGTTAATAATTTGCATGAATTTGGTTAATACTTTTTTTATACAAAACATGCACGCTAGGAATTGACTCAATTATATCAAAATTAATGTCGATATTTATCTTGAATGCTTATATTGAATCGACAGACTTGCCCACACAACAAGAAAATAAATCATCGGTTTGCGTTCTATAAATGTATTTTTATTATGCCTTTTAAGATTCCTTCTGTATTCTATAATTAGAAAAAATGATTAAGGTTAGTTGAATGGGTTCGTCGAAATCCAAAGAACTCAATAATTTGCAGCAAACATTTACTTGAGAAGTATAAAAGAAAGAAAATAAATGAAGAATAAAAGAAAAAGTTGAATAAATGATAGGTGGTTTCATTAAAAGCTCTCCTTGTCATGTTATAGAAAATGAGTTAGCAGTTCCACCACTATTTTTAAGAAGACAATTTTATAAATACAGTTTAAAGTCAATTTCTTGGTCCAATAACATAACCACCGAACTTATTAATGAGCTGAAATTTCTCTGTGATAAAATTTATTGGGTTAAGAAAAAAAAACCGCTACTTGTCACAGTGTGTAATGACTTAAGTGAAATTGTTATTAATTCTTCGTCGATTCTAAAGACATTTGATTTGAATATTTGGGTAACAGCCATAGACGTTAAAAATGTTATTAAATTAAACCTAAACAGTGTAAATTCATTTCAAAATTGTTATGAACCTAATTTATAGTGTTATTTCTGAACTTAACAGAAGCTATTTGGGGTGACATGAAATATACACTGACGGCTCAAAAAATAAAAATGGCTTAGGAGCTGGTTTCTTTGATCAATATTTAGGAAACAGGGCTAAATTTAAGTTAAATGTTGATGTGTCAATAATAACGCTGGAGCTCATTGTAATTTTTCAAGCTTTGATGTATGTACTTAAAAATAAAATTAACAAAATAGTTATTTTTTGCGATAGCAAAAGTGCTCGGTGTGCCTCTGAAACCAGAGGTTAATAATATTAACCTAGGTTATTAATATTTATAACAAACGGAATATTTCGTTAATATTGCAATGGGTCCCGGGTCTATATAGGCCTTAAAGGCAACGAAGAGGCTGATCGCTTATCTAAGCTAGCTGCAGTAGAGGGTGACATCATTAATTTTATACCAGATCCGACTGAATATGTCTCAAAATTTAAAAGTGTATGTTACCAAAATTGGAAAAGCTATTTTTAAGAGACATCTAAAACGAAAGGTATCTGGTATAGAACTATACAAAGCGAGCCTTATCGCGTACCTTGGTTTAATGATTGTGGTCACAGCAGAAATTTTGTTAAGTTAGCCTTAAGGCTTTGTTCTTATCATATTCCATCAGCAAAGTTCGCTTTTTTTAATGGGGAAAAAACCTTCACCGAATTGTGATGTATGTAACAAAATTGAAGATGTATACCATTTGTTGATGGAGTTTGTCAATAATGAAAAAGATAGACAGGCTGTGTTGAAAGAATTTAACGCAAATGTTTTGGATGTCGATCTAGTGCAAATGGTTTTATCAAACCCCAAATCAAAGATGTCAAGAGGGTTATTCCGGCTTGCTTCTAGGGCGGAATAATTACCTTCTTTATCTAGTATGTTTTTTTTTTAGGTTAGTAATTTAACTAGTACTCTCAATTATACATTTTTATTTTGTTATAGTTTTAGCAGTCAAAGAGAATATAATCACTATAGCAGTAATTAGTATAAGGTATGATGGGATTGGCATGTTATTTTGACAAAAATCCCATAAAAATTAAAGAAAAAATGCTGTCAGGGCGTCTATACTGCGCTAGCACTTCTTACTAGTTTGTGGTTTGTACGCCAGTATATTCTAAGTCTATGGTAGGTACCATCCTCTTAGTATTACCTATTTCTACAGACAAATATAGGCGGTCGCCAAATACAAGGAATTTTGTATACTGATCTTTGTTCTAAATAGCAGTGGTCAAAAACATTTTTAGATAAAGTACAAATCTGTAATATATTGATAAGTAATAAAGAGAGAAGGACAATAAAAAAATGTAAATTGTTAAGATAGCTAGTTGCATGGTGCATGTCGTTGCAAGAGAACGTTCCCGAAGATGGCCTCTGTCAACTTAATAAAATGTGTTGGCATAAAATAGGCAACGCTCAAACCATTGATGCAAGCAAAACGCAACCTTACGTCTACATTCAAAAATCCTGTTGACTTAGAATTAAGTAAGGCTGGACTCACACATTCGGAATGCATCTCTGAATTCATAATCAAAATTCATATTATTAGTTAAGAAAGCCCGGAGTTGCATAACATTTAACTATACTACGATGACTACACTGACGAGCGTTCTGAACTCCGGATCAGAACATTTAAGATTATGATTTCATAACGCGCGTTTTACTATACATTTGAGCATGTGGCACACAGACATTCACACACACACACACCGGAATCAAATTATGAATTATTTCAGTTGAAACTATGAGCGATAACGGCTAGACGTGTTGCGACTTGTGAAGTTGTAATATAGAACTGACTGTCCCTTACTCTGTTCACAAAAGTTGGGAGGATGAATCCAGTGTATTCGTATGGGTCCCTTTTTTATTATTTATAGATCAAGGTATAACGCGATGAGTATTATTATATATTACTCTTCCATATCCGAGAAATGTGCCTGATAAAAATGAATACTAAAAATTACATGGAAAAGCAAGAAGGGCAATGTGTATTAATAATATGACAAGAAGTAATGACTCATTTTCTTCAACTATTTTCTATGAAAGTATCATAACAAAGACGCAAAGAAGATAAAGTTAAAAAGTAATCCAGATAATGAAAAAATAAAGTTATTGTGTATGACATAAAGCCGGTCACATACATACGGAACCCGAAACGTAATTCCGTTTCGGAATTCCGTGAATGCATCACACACATATGTTTATTTCCGTTCGGAATAAAAAGGGTCAGTTGAGAGCATAGATAAGAGTGTATATTGAGAGACGTTAGCCATTAAGTCTAGACATTCTGCCAGCGAATAATGACAACGATTTTCTGATTGCCATTCCATTGTTGCTGTATCATTCTTACTAGGTGCATCCCCTTATCACCCTTTAAAGAATATAGTAAAACGAATTAGCAAAATGAAGCTAGGTTATATTTACCTTGAATTTTAATTATAATAACAATGAAATCTTATTTAAGAAAGGAGAAATGTAGTTTTCAAAAATAGTGTTAAATCTTCCTGTTACTTACACAGGAAGATTTAACACTATTTTATTAGAAGTATTTTTAATGACCTTATTAACAATATAATTTTGTTCTTAATAATAATAATTCTTTTGGTATTATAAACTCCATCATTAAAAATAAATAAGTGAAATAAAATGATTGACGTCGAAGTTACAAAAACTCCATTCCATCAAACTTCTTTCAGCCTTTTATTTTCTATCTGTGAACGTAATTTTTGGTGGAGATTCTGCAGGTCACCCGTCCTAATTTAGTAGGACTAATCTGCCTGTCTTCCACTGTGAAGGGAACCGGCAGGCAGGCAGGCATCATCAATAACCTTTGGAGTACCTCCCCTAACATTTTAAGAGCCAAGAACCAGGCGTCACCAGGAATACTATCAGGCCCTGGAGCCTTGTTTATGGCTCGAAGTTTAACGACGGTCGGGCCGAGCTTCACCTGCTATACAGTCAACATCTCAAACTCCGAGCATTGCCCCTCTTGAGATGCCATTTCTCGGCAATAAGGAGCCTATCATGTCCTCCAAACACCGAGGCTGAGACTTTCCACGAATGAAGGTCCCCATGGACAAATTTGTCCCCTGGTCATTTTATTTATTCCTAGCTCAACGCAGACTGAAGTTCGCGATTGGTTATCATTATTATAGGTATAGAAATACCGAGAGGCATTTGGTAGGTAGACAATATGACTTTTAGATACTAATAATTATACTTTAATACTTGAAAAGTGAATACGCTTTCTTTTAATAATATAATATCCACAGAACTGCTAGTGATCACATTTCTGTAATAATTTAAAAAATATTATTAAACAAGCTATTACTTTTAAAAAGAAACACCTTAATAACATTAATATATTATATTAATTTATCAAAATGTACGCCTACATTTCAATATTTTTTGGCTGAAAACCTTGTAGCCAAACACAATAAATGAAAAAAAAAAAACGAGTAACCTTAAAAATCCCCAAAAATTAACCAATCGCTATTTCAATTCTGATATAATTTAAATAGTTAAGTATAAAAGATAAATATTTATTATAGAGTAGAATTAAACAACAACTTGTAAGCTTTGGACATAACAAAATGAATCAAGCGCAGGTTACCAAGTTAGTTTCTAAATTACGAATAAAAGTAGCTCCAGAACCCCGAAGACTTAGAAATCCAAAAGGTCCGGAAGGCAGATTGGATAAATTACGAAAAACTGTGACGGGATTAATAAAATTCGAAAGAATTGAATTAAATTTCAACAGAGCAGATGAAGCCCGACAATATGCTGAAAGGGTAACATAATTATTTCATCAACAGTGCTATCTTTATATAAGTAATATGAAGAATACCACACATTATTTTCTAATATATTCAAATTTATTACAGCTCATATCAGAAGCCATTGTTCATGGCGATTGCCATAAGCCAACAATGGAGATTGCAGATTACTGGTTACTTGAAAAGGAACTAATACATAAATTGTTTAAAGTCCTTGTACCAAGATATGAAAATTGTAATACTGCTTTTACAAAAATGTATAGAGCACCAAGACCATTATACAGTAGAAATATTGAAAAGGCAGTTTTGGAACTTAGAGGAAATCCGTACCCATCTCTGATAAATAAACAGTACAGTAATAGACACTTAATCCAAAATGTATTATTAGATGCCGCTAAATATGATTACAGGCAAGCCAAATATGCTGAAATGGCTGATAAAATTGGGAAAACTGAAAACCAGGAGTTGAACAAATTGTCTAAAAAAGACGAAATAACTACCGAATAAAACTATTTTTACGGATTTTATCGCGTTTAATTTACTTATTTTTATATTCCCGACGTTTCGGTTGCTTTCCAGCAACCGTGGTCACGGGGGACTGAGGTGATTGACGTCCCGATGTCAAAGTTAACCCGGAGTACCTTCAGCTTTTTAATTATTAATTTAAGTCTGCAGTTTGTGATCATATCCTAGACGGCCCCCGTCATTACATTAGATTTGATAAACCACAAGTCCTCGCGAAAGAACATCGATTCCTGCCAAGGATGATACGTGAGGCTATTGAAATTAAAAAACATCCTAATTTCAATAGAGAGGGAGGCTGGGTACTACCACCTGCTTGGGATCCTGTAATTCATAAAATTAAAACTAAACCCAAGCATACCACTGTAAGACTTCAAGACACAGTTAGTTCATTCTGCGTAGATCGGACCAAAATTAATAATTAAAAAGCTGAAGGTACTCCGGGTTAACTTTGACATCGGGACGTCAATCACCTCAGTCCCCCGTGACCACGGTTGCTGGAAAGCAACCGAAACGTCGGGAATATAAAAATAAGTAAATTAAACGCGATAAAATCCGTAAAAATAGTTTTATTCAATGTGTAGTGTTCGCGTAAATATAAGAAATCATTATATAACTACCGAAAATAAAGAACAGATACCTTTATCTACATAAGATGTTTCTAAGAAATAAAACTAGTATTGCCATTGAAACAGAATTAATTATGATAGTTTAATTTTGACATAAATAAGAATTATAATTATTAAAGAGTAATTAATGTAAGAACCTTTTAGATTTTACCCATAGCATATTTAGTCAATTTAAAAATTGGTGTTTCCCAAAATGTTTTGTTCCATGTTTTATTTTTAGTCTTACACAGCCATCACATTCTTATATTATACTAGATATATTATTCTTAGCAATATGAGAAAACTCACAGTTTGTACATTTGACTCATAATCACAAACTTAATTATTCAAATATTCACATTAAGAATTGACACCTGGATGTTATAATAAAAATTATATATATTTTTTAAATTTAGGTGATACCCTAGAATAGAGGTTAGGGTGATCCCGGCGTGTGGAGATGTTTAGCCCCCTATGCAGGGACCTCCGAACATGTCAGCAACTAGTGGGCCGCCGTTTCTTCCTCCGCCATACATGCACATTGGACTATCTGTAACACCTATGGTAAATAAATGCTTGTTAAAGGAGCCATGTCCTGTGATAGCACTTGTTACTATCTTGATCTGTTGTTTGTTCAGTCTCATTAGAACCTTGGTTAAACAACTTTATTATAGACAGGGCTTGTCTCCAGTCTATTAGATTTTTCCAAAGCTAAGCATATTGATTAGTGAAGTTTCTACATACCATTGAACGAATGTTACCAAAGGGGATTGGTATGATTGGTTCTGGCGCTATAGTAGCCAGAGCAGATCCTCTTCTGGCCAGTTTGTCTGATGCATCGTTGCCTCTCAATCCACTGTGTCCCTTTATCCATTGCAGAGTCACATTGTTGTGTTTACATACCTCATTTAATTGTTGATGGCATTCATATATCAGTCCCAAGTTCACCACATTGCAACTCAGAGCTTGTAGTACTGCCATACTGTTGGTAAGTATTCTGATGGAGAATTGTCAAATGAATGAAAGCGATTGTCGAACGTCGATACCTGATACATTTTTTTGCACTCAGACTTAGCCTTTGATTTTACCAGCCACAACCCACGGCTCTTGTATTAAGGCTAAGGCCGTCACTTGCGTAATTGAGCCGACGCAAATTGGCCTGCACTAGGCTAGTTTTGGACGAAGGGCACGCCATCATTGATCGCGTCCTCCCCGTACCCGGCCAAAAATAAGCTTCAAGCCAGCAGATCCCGGGTCTAATCGTCAAACACAGAGTCCGAATTGGACGGCAAAATGCAGTCGTCTTCGTTTCGTTCATTCGTCATTCAGTGCTCTGCCGCTGAGCCCGATCTCTACTAATGGCTTCGGCTCAGTTGTGCAGGCCGTTTTGTCACTGATCTTGGCATCCAGTGATTCCGCTGTACCGGTAACTATGGCCCCGGTATCCATGACTTCCGGGTTGTTTTCAGCCTCTTTACTCTAAATTTTTTGACACTCCACTAAGGAGTATCAAAAAATTTACACATGCGAGACGGCGTCCGGCTTTCATCAGAGTTGGGATATGATCCTCCGGCACTGAAACAACGAGGAACCACCGGTCCGTCTGCTTATCAGTCTTGAGTAGCAGCCAATCCCTGATTTTACCCAGCGGTTCTTTTACGCCAGCACACGACCGATGTCGCGTGAGTCTTTCCAGGCTCCCTGGGCAACAGGAATAAGGATGCCACACTTGATTCTCTGTGGTATCTCTGACTATTTCTTGATGATCAGCGAGGTGTTGGATTTAAGGTCGAGGGTATCAATGTTCCCCTTCAACCAATCCAGAGCCTTCTGATCGTCGCATTACAGCTTCAGGACAGCCTTTGTGTAAACGGATTTGCCTCTAAAAACTGAGCCCGTCGCATCAGGGTCCTGGCTACTCGCTACTCCAGGCCTCGCTGATCATCTTGATCTATATTGCCACGAGGATGTCGTCGGCAACTTCCTTCGTTATGTGAACTGAACGCGCACACGTTAAGGCCACACCCAAATGTGCTTTAGCAGCGGAAGCGTAGTGGGTTCTTGCAGCCCTTGGTTGCTCTTTAAGTCGCACTTTCTTGTGCTCGCCTCTCGGTACATCTTTTTGGCTGCTCTTTACTTCTTACTATGCTTGGTCGCTCTCTGCTTCCTGCTGGATATCTTAGAGTCGGTCCCTGCGGCCGCGATATGATTTTATCTTCCCCAGTTTCAGCGCGGCTACTGCTCCCAGCCCCAAGCACCGCAGTCACAGTAGCTTGCCCAGCCTCCTTGGTGCTGATCTTAGAAGCAGCCAGCGCGACCCTTTCTCTACGACCTTTTTCTCGCTGCTTCTTATTCTTTTTCTTGGCCTTCACACCACAGCTTGCTGAGATAGACACACCTGATGGTCCGTCAAGTCGGCAAGTCATCTTTTTGCCAGGCAACAGAGAAAAGTCGTCCGTTCTCTGAGGCTACGCAGAAGTTTTGCTACTCGTGGTCTCTTGCTCCTTCCTCGCGTCCAGCCCCTTAAGTTTGGAACTGCTTTTGAGAACATACAGCGCGGAAATTGCCCCCTTGGTGCGGCCACCTACGCTGGATGGTGCAATCCGTGCAACCGTCGGTTTAATGGCGGTTTATCCTTGTTCATTTGTGTCTCTGGTAAGCACCTCTGACACCTCTCCCTCTTTCCTAATGGCTTTAAATTATTAATATTTTTTATCCGTTTAAAATTCGTCCCACCATCGATGGAGCTCTATTTCGGGAGGGCCCTTTGTTTAAAACAAAAATAATTTCAAGCGTTAGGATTACCGGGGGAGTATAGGGACGCGAAGTTGGCTCACAGCGCGACATCGGGAGCTCGATCCAGCTGACAGATAGGGCTGAAAAGGCCCATCCCCACTGCCCGAATTGACTGTCACTTGCTCCGTCAGCATGGCCTTTACCACCACCTAGCCCTTTTCAGGAAAACTAAGCAGCCCCGTCCCTCGCCTGCGATCCTATGACAGGGCGCTTGGCCATTTCCCTATCTGTGGCTAGCGGATAGGACCACCGTTTAGCTAGAAATCCGGACCAAAGAAGGCGTGTTACCTCTCGCCACTATATACCTCAGTGACGATCGGCTCAACCCTCCAGTTTTATGTGTAAAAGTGGTGCAATTTTGTTTAATGTGTCTGCACATGTGAACTAAATAAAGGACGTAAACAATTGCTCCAATAGCGCACTGAGCGTAAAGATATGTACATATGTTACTCTATGATTGGGAACACCTTTATTTAATCTAAGATTCATCATTTTCGGTCGTTTATAATCTTTCAATTTTAAACCGTCAAACTGTTATTTAGGCCCGCCACATACATACGGAATCCCGTTTCGAGATTCCGTTTCGGAATTCCGAACGGTCGGCCACACACAAACGGAATCCCGTTTTGCCCGCAAAATATCGAACGGAAAACTACCGTACGTGTGTGGCGGGTCACAGATTTTATATGGACTTGCTGCGTTCGGGATTCCGAATCGGAATATTGAAACGGAATCTCGAAACGGAATTCCCTATGTATGCGGCCGGCCTTACTGACAGGATTCATCATTGAGTTATACATAACTAGAGGAGCAAACCACATTACCGCGCGTCGAAAAAAGTGAAGCCACTATCTAACCGCGAGGACGTAGCTTTGAAACCACTAAACCTTTTTAAGTAAACATATATCTGTCTCACTTACACAAGTCGCGAAAACAATACCGTCGCTAAGATTAGATAAAGATAGACACACAAACATGCAGTGACGGGTTGCTATTGCCTACTATATGAAATTTTACCCAAAAATAAGCAATAAAAAAGAGTTTTTTTTAAGCTGCAGTTATTTGTCTTTATTTTAAATATGTATCTTTGCTTATCCAATGAATAGAAGTATAACTAATGAAATGAAAGATATTTTTTTTCGAAGTATCTTTTATTGTACTGATAAATCACACAAAACAAATCAAGTAAAAAAAATTAATTTCGGGTTTCTTAACCAAGAAGATCTAGAGTTTTAAATATGCATCAATTGTGAAAGCATCGGCAAGTCTTTGTCTCCTAAATTTGGTCTCATGACATTAGTTACAAAAACTGTGGTTATAATTAAATTTTTAAGATAATACTAAATGGTGTTAATCTGTCGTACTAATCCGCTTAAATAAACACGGTCGCCTTCGCTTTTTGGTCATAGTTTTTGTGGTTTGGTGTCCCGGAAGTGCTTAGAACTAATGAGAGTAGATTTCGAAGGCACCCAGTGAGTCTCCTTTCTCAGCAATCGTATTATTTCCACCCACTTCTTACGGTGTGCTGCATCTTTAGGTACCCTGCAAAATTATTAATATAAAATAGGTAATAAAATATAATTAATAGGTCTATAGATCTTTAGAATATTCTAAAATAAGAATAATTAATTCATTTGTATAAAGGTTGAAACATAGTTTTTATTACAATTTCCAAAATATTTAAAATCACGACTAACAAGTTAACTTATTCCATAAATTATATAGTCGTACTAGTGTAATGTAGGAAAATTGCAAAGGCAGAAAAGTGGCAACATTGAACCTAAATTGCAATATTCGATATTTTTTTTTTGTGTTTTTTTACTTTAATATGAAAACATAAACTAAAACTTATGTGTGGAAAGTGATTCCGCTTGATTAAATATGTTTTTGTGACCTTGAATCGCATTCTTTCACTACGCATTTACCCATTTTTTTGTCGTGAATCGTTCGGCTCAACTCGGTCGGCGTCCCATTGAACACTGAACCGACGTTACGTTAGCTGGGCATATGGCTGTGGCCGTATGTGAAGTGGCAACGCTTTGGCGCGGCAATTACTTATCTAGTGTAACATATAAATCAATGGGATTCACATTCTCAATCTAGTTGGTTCGATTATACCACACTTATAATTATTGTGAATCTGCAATGTCTTTTATGGTTTTACTAATAAGGTTATATTTTTATCAACAGCTGTGCACTGGGTTAAACTATCACCAAAATCCAAAAACTTGGCAGTGGCATTAGCTTATTATGAAATTTGTCAGACAAGGTTGTATATGTTTATATCTCTTTGCCTTTATATAAAAAATATATCAATCAATCAAGAACTTTTAATATAAAGCCGCGTATCCACCGAAAATATTGACAACATTTATGTTTCCAACCGTTTGCATCTCAACAAAAGTTATCAACATTTGTTTCCGATGTTTCCACACTGAATTGAAACATCTTGCCAACAATAATTTGAGCAACATTTTAGTTGACAACTTGCTGTCTCCACTAAAGTTTTGTTGGCAAAAATACGTCTTCAAGTAACGATATTATGCAGGCAGCCACAGTATTTATAATAGGCAATATTTTTAATTTCATTACTTGTCTCTCTTCCTCTTTTTTTAAAAAACGTTACCTTCACACTAAGATTTTCTCCTGTGTCGCAGTGACAGTTTACATACATAAAACAGAAAAAGTACAATTATTTGTACTTCTTCCGTTCGGTATCGAATCCGCGGCCCTTAGCGCTGCAACTCATTATTAAACCACTGCACCACGGAGCCGTAACTTGTCTGTTTCACATTTTTTCCTATTTACAAATTTTATTATTTTATTATTCATTATTAATGAGAGTTTTAAGGGAAAAAAATAAAAAGAAAAGTGGCTTTCGGTATCATTAGGAACAGCAAATAATGAATAGTCGACATTCCTGTTGTTATTTTAGCACCCGTATGCTATGTATACCTTTTGGATTTTTGAGAGGCTATACTTTAATAAAAACTCAAAAATAATATAAATGCCTAAATACTTAAGAGAGAAAAATTTATTTTTTCCTTTTTCATTTTTATCTTTATAATTTTGATTACACAAATCCCATTTTGTGAACGATACAAATTAACTAACGTGTCGATTAACTCGTTCGTGCACGTGACAGACATATTGCCGACTAATATTTCCAACAAGCGTCACCATAGAGGGAACAAATGTTTGCAACAAGCATATTCCTTTGATTGCCGCCGAAAATGGAAACACGGTTCCCGACATTGTTTACAAGTTTCGTTGCCAACACGTAGGTAATTAATTACAGAAACATTTGTTACCAACACGTGTTGACAATACAAAAGTTGGTAACTTTTCTTTGGTGGAGAGTGGAGACGTGGCTTAATGTACTATACTTATTATTATAATCTTTGACCTTGGACCTTGGTCAACAACACAGAGTACCTTTGTAAAAACCGAAAGTCAACAAAAATCAAAAAGACAAAAGTTAAAAAAAAAGTTTACCTAATCAAAAATCAAAATGAATTGAAGTTCGAACATAATTTTATTTGGTATACAAGCTGCCAATAGCTTGCTAGCTTGCTACAGATTTATTAAGCTGTGGTTACCATTGCCAATATCAGAATCGGAATTGTACAAGATTAATGATATAATAAATTAAGTTAACCTTCAAAAATTGAAGTTAGCAACAACGAATTGAGATTTTATTATAACATAATCTAAATAATTTATAGTGATAAGCGATTCATACTTCATAGAGAAGGTTTTGTAATATCTGTAGATTCTGTAGTAAGAAGTTTATGGACAGCTGTTCTGGTTGCGTAATAATTATTAACCATCTAAATATAACCATTTTTTCCAAACAATGCTAACAGAAGATAAAAATAAAGTTGTAGTAATCGGTTCTTGCAGTGTTGATTTTGTGACGTATGTATTAAAATCTTTTACCGTGGTATGCGGTGATTACCGTGCCATTTTCAATGGTTTAAAAAGTACAGTTATTTCATCAATAAAAATAATGACATGTTTATGTGATACTTATCTATAAAAAAATATGCTACACTATAAAGTTTTTACTTTCCTTTCCTGTATAGCTAAGTATGAATTTGCAACGGAATGCAATTCCAATTTTGTGATAGGATATCCGAAAATGTAGACAATGCAGTGACATGTGATTTTAAAGGTAGTTTCTCTTCTTTACTGAAAACAGTTTGCCATCCAGGCATTCAAGGTGCTTTACCATTCAATTTTGACGACAATTTATTTTGATGTAGGCCATTTTTCTGCTACAGAATGCCTTGAAGTACGCCTAGATTTCCATTGTTATCAAAATCTGTTTTATTTTTAATTTGTATTATTGCCTTGAAGAAGTGAACACTTATTGTGGGTAAGGCTTTGCTTGTTCTTCTGTTTAGTTTTTAAAATACCAAAACCAGCTTAGCTGGTAAACTGTACTGTCACTATATTATGCTAGCACTGATATCAGAAACACCAGCTTGGCTGGTAAACTGTACTGTCAATATATTATGCTAGCGCTGATATCAGAAATATTTTAATATTAAAGTCGATTTCCAACCGAGGTGGTAACAATGTCACTTGTTTAATGGCAGATTTTTATTTGTAAAATTGTATATTGATAAATAGTACTTGAAGCTTAAATACCTATATGGTTGTACCTGTTTTATATTTGACTAGTTTACTAAAATTTTACATTTAATTTCAAAACACTGCTAGCCAATCAATTACTTTTGCCAAACTGATTGACATGAAGTGCTGCTAGGTACTATTAATAAAAAGTTAAAAAACGCCAAACTACATATTTATCAATAAATGAACTGAAAATGTATTGCTCAGTTGAAATAGGAATTAATTAAAATAAAGCAGTCTCTTATTGGACGTTCTTGTCTGCTCGACACATAGTAAATCAAACAATGGTTCATCTTCAGATAATACTTATTTAAACTAACATATTGTTAATGATTACTTTTTAGATATTCACCACGGCTGCCTAAACCTGGAGAGACACTTCATGGACACAAATTTACTACTAGTTTTGGGGGTAAAGGAGCTAATCAATGTGTAGCAGCAACAAAACTTGGGGCAAATTCATACATAATAAGTAGAGTAGGTTCTGGAATTTCATCATTCCATATTTAATAAATTAAAAATAATTCTCTGTGTTGAAATTTTTCTGTTTAAAAATAGAAATATTTGTATATAAGTTTCCCATTAATGACTAATTACTTTTTAGTTGGGAGATGATCAGTGGGGGCAGAAATATAAAGAGTATTTAAAAGAAATTGGTGTAGATGTCACGCATGCAGCCATTACATCCAACAGTTCAACTGGTATTGCTCAAATCGCAGTTGCTGAAAATGGAGAAAATCAAATAGTTATTGTTCCAGGGTCTAATAATCTTCTATGTTCTAATGATGTGAAGGAGGCAGAAAACCTAATTAAAAGTGCTGATGTTATTGTAGGACAACTTGAAACACCCCTTGAATCAACATTGGAGGCTTTTAAGCTTAGTAAAGGTGTAAGTGCTGTTACAGTTGTTTTGTTATACATAACTACATATTATTATAAATTATTTATCATATTTTTTTTTACAATTGTTCCATTGTTCTTCACAAAGGAATTAAGAACCTAAATATATTTAAATCCTGTTTGTCCTTACAAAGATGCTATTTTAGAGGCATACCTACATTTTAGAGAATTTTTAGATTTAGAGGATTTTCGGGTGGGAGAGCTAAATGTACTGCCCTGCATAGTACATGTGTAGGTTTGGTGTCAAGCGAGGTTCGTACTGCACCAGTTGCTTTATGGCCATGGATAACTATGTAGGCTATTTATGTAAATAGTACATATGTTAAGTAAATAAATCACGGATAGAGGTAGAGAACTTTAATCCAAAATTATTTTCCTTTTTTTTAAATGCCCCTTGGATTCAAAATGCATATATTTTCAAATCGGTTCAATACAACCCATCAACATTAGTTGGAGACTTGAGTGGAAATGCATTCTCCACTTCCGATTCCTACAACACAAGATGTTGATGTGTGTGCAGTGCTGCTGTGTAACTTTTTATCAACCCATGTAACATGAATATAAGTAACTGTTTTGAAAAATAGACTTAGAGCCATACATGCAAATGCCTTTTTCAGTTGAAGCTGACTTCAACTGAAAAAGGACCACATTATCTCAAAATACCAGCATATAATAGCATGTTTATGCTGCTGTACTTCGTATGGTGAGTGAGAGAACCGGAGACCCTTTTTACTGGCAAAGAGGCATTCCATCTTAGTCCTCACGGGTGACAACGCATCGGCATCTTGAGCCTTTGTTGAGAATAGATGTAGATGTCTATGGGTCACAGTAACCGCTTACCATCAGGTAGACTGAGTGCTCGTTTGTTACCAGATCCTATAAAAAAAATTCTATAAAAAGATTATTTGTTATAATACCACAATTTCGGTTAGTTCGGTCAAAAATCACCAAAGTTTGTAATTTTCAGTCATCATCATCATCATTACAGCCCTTAATAAGTCCACTACTGAACATAGGCCTCCCCCAAGGAATGCCACAAAGCACGGTCCCAAGGCACCTGCATCCATTGACTACCTGCATGTCTTACCATGTCGTCACTCCATCTAGTGTCTATCTCATCAGTCATCTACAATTCGCCTGCCGGTGCGAGGCTGCCACTCGAGAACCTTTCTTCCCCATCGGTTATCGGTTCTACGAGCTATATGGCCAGCCCATTGCCACTTTAGCATACTAATTCTTTGGGCTATGTCGGTTACTCTAGTTCTACTGTGTATATCTTCGTTTTTAAGTCTTATCATGCAGAGAAACTCCGAGCATAGCCCTCTCCATAGCTCACTGAGCGACTTTGAGCTTCCTCATACGGTAGCAGTGAAGGACCACATCTCAGTTCCAATAAGTCATCACTGGCAACACGCACTGGTTGAATAGTTTTGAGGTTCTGAGGTGGGTCTAACGAGAAGATTCGTCGATTGACCTCTCGCTCAAAGTTGGGACTTACCTAGTCGGACTATTTGTCCTAGGTAAACATATGTCAACAACTTCGAGGTTAGTGCTCCCAACAACTACCGGCATAGGTGTGACATGGACGTTAAACATGATTTTTGTTTTGTCCATGTTCATCTTAAGACCTATCCGTTGGGAGACACTATTGAGGTCATTGAGCAAAGTGCTTAGGTCCTCCAGCGATTCTGCCGGTTGTGTATCGCCAGCAACGCAAAATCAGGAATTTGCATTCTAAACACTAGGAGTAGGGCAGATACGACTACGTGAAGTCGGGGCGTTCTGATTTGGTTTTAGTGCAGATTCGACCTATCTTATCTATAATATATAACAGATAAAGCACAAAAATTCCATGCCATGCCCCACAGCGCCGAAGCCGTGGCAGAAGTAACTATGTCAATATTCCTGCAACGCAAATTTCAACAGTTCGTTGCGGTGAAAATGTTAAAGCAACTAATTATTAAACTTGGTAACCCATTAGCACCAAAAAACCCCTAATTTGAGCTTTTCCTAAAAGCATTTTCGATTCTATTCTGATTTTCAGAAAACCTGAATTTTGCATCTGCTTTGTTCTGAATAACGACTTTATTTTTATTAGGGGCGCCTTGTTATTGCATATACTTGCAGCACCTAATTAGAACTTAATTCCTTGCTATTAATATTTGTCGTTTATCTAATAACTTCATTGCGTTGCTAGCGATACGTTTTGCCAGCAACGCAGATTTCAACCATTCGTTGCGGTGAAAATTTTAGAGCACTTAATTTTTAAACTTGGCACCTAATTAGCACCTAAAAGGCCCCTAATTTTGGATTTTTCCAAATACAAATTCCCGACTTTGCGTTGCTGGCGAGACATAACTGATTCTGGCATAAGGACTATATCGTCGGCAAATGTACTCGCCATTGACGTTAATACCGTATCCTTTCCAGTCCAGTAGCTTGAAAACGTCTTCCAATGCAGCGGTGAAGTTCCGGGGATATTACGTCACCCTGTCTTACACCTCTCTGCAGTTGGATAGGTTTCGTACTCTGGTTCTGTACTCGGATAGTCATCGTAGCCCTACTGTACAAACACTACAGCACTTCGATATACCGACAGTCCACTTGACACCGCTGGAGAGACTGCAGGTGCAAATTTCGACGGAATCAAAGGCTTTCTCATAGTCCACATACGCAAGACAAAGTGGCAGATTGTACTCTTCGGTCTTCTGTACAATTTGCCGAAGGGTATATATGTGGTCTATGGTGTAAAAGCTTTTTCGGAAACCGGCTTGTTCAAGAGGCTGGAAGTCGTCGAGTCTGTATACGAGACGATTCGTAATTACTCGAAAACAGCACGTAGACGCGGCTCAGAAGGGAAATCGATCTGTAGTTCTTCAAGAGAGCTTTGTCGCCTATCTTGAAGAACAAGACTACCGCTCCACGCCTCCGGAGTAGTGTCTCCATGAAGGACGGAATTAAAGAGCTTCTGAAGGACTAAATACCGGTTTTCCACCCGCTTTCAGAAGCTCCATGTAATTCCATCCTCGCCCGGGGACTTGCCGTTTTTAAGGTGTTGGAGAGCCATTCTAATCTCGCTTAGATTGACGTCCGGGATATCATCGGAATAGTGTCGGATAAGACTTGCTCTTGGATCGTTACTCACACTTGCGTGTGGCTTCAACGATGACGTGTACAGCTGCCCATAGAAACTCTCAATCTTACTCAAAATCTCAGGTGTCCCGAAAACTATGCTTTCACATTCGGTCTTCGGCTTCAACAGTTTGCTCTTTCTGGCAGACAGATCTCTGGCAAAGACTTTTGAGCCCTGGTTCCGCTCGATCGCTTTTGGGTCAGTGAATCGAAACCAAATATTGTCAGAACTATGAAAAACTTTATTACTTATAAACACAGGTTATTAGGTGATTTACGTATGAACATTTATCTTACAATGGCGGACAAATTGCAAACTGAACAATGCTGACATTTGCCGTACTTCACGATGGCAGAGTAAAGTACTTAGTTATACATGTATACACTTATTTTAAACGATCTCTTATACTACTTATATTGGCTCACGATCTTCGCGATTATTTCATCACTACAACACCTCCCCTCGAAGTCGTGAGCAATAAATCACTGGACACTTACATACACATCATTCCTAAATTGCGCAAACATTCATGATGTTTTGGTCCACTCAAATCTTTGGTCAAAACATCTGCTGGCATTCTTTCTGTACATAAATATCTGAGTTCAATAAGACCTTCACACATATCTCGTACAAAGTGGTGCCTAACATCAATATGTTTTGTTCGTGACTGATAACTTCTATTTTGAATTAATTTAATCGCACCCTGATTGTCATTAAATAATGTCACACACTCGCATTCAATACTTACATTATTAAAAATGTTTGATAAATACAAAGCCTCCCTTGTAGCTTCAGATATAGCCACATATTCGGCTTCTGTACTTGAAAGTGCCACCACTCGTTGCTTTCGTATCTCCCAACTAATAGGAGCACCTGCAAAAATAAAAGCAAAACCAGAATATAACTTACTATCTACACCATTCGCTGCCCAATCGGCATCTACAATTCTAAACAATGACAAACCTGTCCTCTCATACACTAAACCGTAGTTAGGGAGTGCCTTTCAAATATCGCAATACATGTTTTGCTGCCTTCCAGTGCTCAATATTATAGTTAGTATTAAATTAGCTTAAGTAGTTAACGCTGTAAGTGATATCAGGCCTAGTTGATACTGCTAAAAACATCAAAGCACTTACCAAGCTTTGATACAGATACTGCTTCATTACACTCATTCACACTCTCAGGCTTCATTAATTTTACATTAACATCGATAGGCGTTAATGCTGGTTTGCAATTTTGCATTGACACATGCCAAAGCGTTCCAACAGTATTTCAATGTACACACTCTGTTCCATATACACTCTATCCTCATTATAACGTGAAAACTGTATACCTAAACAATCAGAAATTTTTTCACATGTCTTTAATTTCAAATTTATTTGATAGTTTATTTTTAACTTTATTTAACCATACATTATCATTTGTAGCTAAAATAAGATCATCGAAATATATAGCAATCAACATTATGTGCTCATTCTTCCGCGCTACAAAAATACACTGATCTTGAGGTAATGCCTTAAAGCCTATACTTAACAACATTCGCACTAATTCTTTATGCCACTGTAGCCCTGACTGACGTAAACCATACAACGACTTCTTCAACAAACAAACACAATCATCACATTCGTTAATCGTCTTACGCCAGCGCTTAGCCGTCTCAGTTATTTTAATATCTAGAATAACTTTCAGAAGAACCAATCATTTTGTTTAAATTCATATAAACTTCTTCTTCAAGTGGACCATTCAAGTATGAAGTGACAACATCCATATGATTTATATCTAGTCCAAGCTCAGCTGAAATTGCTGCTAAAATTCTAATTGATGACGATTTTACGACAGGAGAATAAGATTCATGA